TTTTTTCATTTCTTCGGTTCTTCTAAATGATCTTCTTCTAAACTTTCTTATCTTAGCAAGAACTAGCCCCACGCAAGCACCCTCTTCGCATTCTAACGACTAGTTTTATTTCTGTTCAATATAAGATCATCAATTTCACTCAGATCGGATAAAATCAATCACTGAAAAAGAGACAGGGTGGGTGGGCGGGGCTAATTATGTTGTTCTGTCGAGTGGGAGTGGAAAATAAAAAATAAAAATAAGCGCTGATCGTACTTTTTTTTATTATATATTATTTGCTATAAAATGTATTTCTTATTTCATGTACCTGACTGGACTTCAGATAATTTTCAAAAATAGTTGAAAAATGGGCGAAAATATCAGAAGTGCCAAAATCAGTCTTATCTAAACAAGTACTAGCCCCACCCACCCACCCTTTATTTTCTTGGAAGGTATGTCATCTGCCAAAATCAGTCTTGTCTTAGGAAGCACTAGCCCCGCCCACCCGGCCTCTTCTCATTCTAACAACTAATTTTATTTCTGTTCAGTATAAGATCATTAGGTAATTTCATTCAGATTGCATAAAATCAATCACTGAAAAGGAGACAGGGTGGGTGGGTGGGGCTAATTATATTTTTCTGTCGAGCGGGATTGGAAACTAAAAGAATCTAGGAAATGAAGAAAATAAAAAAAGACCTGACCAGACTCTGAATTATTTTCTAAAATAATTGAAAAATGGACGAAAATGTTAAAAGTGCCAAAATTAGTCTTATCTGAGCAAGTACTAGCCCCGCCCGCAAAAAAAAAGTAAAATATAAACCCCGCCCGCCCACCCCGTCTCAATTCTGGTGATTTTTTTTATTAATCGTAAATCGAGGGGCGGACTTTAATTGTAAAATTCTCACTTTTCTACGAGAAACTACCATGAGAAGCCCCACCCATCCGTCTCAATCTCAGTGTTGATGAATTTGAATTTTTTGCAAAATCTAAATTCTTGGGGTAAAAAATGGAGGCAAATTTATAAACCACAAATACAAGAGTACATTATTTTATAAAGTTGGGATGGCGTTTATTAGATTGGAGGTCATCAAATGGAGTGGAGATAATCAGACAAATTTTGCTTAGCGTTTTACAATCCACGCGATATTCCTAACATGTACAAATTTAACAACAACCCGTCCGGAGTTTCGAAGATTATTTGCTTAATAAAAAAAGAAGACAGACAGGAGAAATGCGAGACCTATTTTTTCATATTCTAGGGGTCATGAAACGTCGATAAAACCTGAAAGCAGCCGTTCCTCGGATTGTAATACTTCATTAAATTGCTTAATTCTGGTTCTTGACACAATATACCTGCTTTTTTTAGGAGATTTGTTTTCCCTGATGCATTTAAAATCTGGTCAAAATTTTCCTCAGTACGGGAATTTGAGTTACTAATCCTAATTAATTATCTCATGAATATATCCCCTAAACTTAAACAACAAAATAATTATTTATTAATAAATTTAAAACCAAAAAGAATTTCACATTTAATCGTCTTTAAAGTTAACTATCTAAAACTAGTGGAACTAACCTTTCCTGATTTTTTTAAATTTTTGCTCAAGTTGGCCACGACGCTAACGTCAGCCGTTTCAACTGCACTGCTGACGTACGCGTCATGGCCAACTAGAGCAAAAATTTAAAAAATCACACGTTATACTTAAGTATACCAACCAACGAATTTTTATTGAGACTTAAATTAAGAACTGTTTTATTATTATTATTTATATTTATTTATAAGAAAGTTCACCGCGATCCCATTTAATCTACTTACTACATTTTACTTTTATAAATGAAAAATAAAAGCAGAAAGTGTCAAAATTTCTCAATCCACCTTTCGCACATATTTCAGAATAACCGATTTTTTCGATTATATATGAGTATAAGTTATAACAGACTGAAACCAATACCATTACGGCCCTGTCCAGTAAAGTGCAGAAGTGTGACAATCAGGGATTATTACGAAAGTGGTGTTATATATCTGCCCGTAGTTTTATTTGTTTGGGGTGAATTGTGTGGCTGTTGTAGTAAGCCCAAATAGCGGGTTGTTTTTTCATCTTTAAATTCTACATTATCGAAATTAAAAGGGAGAGATCCATCAATAAACTTTTGCTTGTTGAAACACGCAGGCAATAGAAACTTTTATAACAACAAAATTGGCACGTAGAGAGTTTTATATATGATCAGCTTCATATGTTTTGATTTGTGTTAGGATTTAAAGGCCGTTGGGAAAGCAAGGCGTTTCTCCTGCAACTGTCAAAGTAAAAATATATAAATATATAGGTGTTACATCAAAAAATCAAATAGAACACCTTGTACTTTTTTTACTTCTGTGAAAAGTGTCACAGATTTTTTCAATAATCCACAGGAAATGGGTAATCTTGTGCCAATAGGCACTTGAAACACTTGTAGTGTAATATGATCTATAATTTCTAAATCTCCTCATATATCTCGATGCAAATAAATTACACAACTACACCTCCCATTACAAGCTCTTTAATATTCATCAAGTCTTGCAGTGAGCTGTTTATTTTTAATCGTTTAACGTTTTATTTAGTTATAATTATTTTTACATAGTCTAAACACTTTCCGTCATCGTACTTGCAGTGTTTACGTACCGACCATTTTTCAACCTAAAACACCTCTTGCACACGTTTTCGCACCAACCCGAAATTTGACCACCCGATTTCGATTTCGTCCCACCATGCAACGCAGTGGCGTACTTGAAAAGTGTTTGACCTTGTCATGAAATATGCAGCAGAGTTCAATGCACACCGAGTTAAAAATACACACGGCTATTGTATTATTATACAAATATATGTAAATACGGACGTTTTACTCCCCCTTGAGGTGCACCTGTGCATGTTGGCCGCGAAGCCGAGGGTGATGGTCTATGAATCGATTGGGAGTTTGTATGGGAAGTAGTAGTAGTAGTGGTAGTGGAAATACGCATTTACGTTACGCTTTTATGTCTGGCTATGACCTAAAATCCGGAGTCACGAGCTTTTACTTTCAGTCTAGTTTCGCCCAGAAACGCCACAAAGTCTTTTTTGTTGGAGAGGATACGGAGAGATCGGCATGAACGAGCAGACGCTGACGGGGTGGAAGATGCTGAAAGGAGAACGAAACTTTGGGGTGGTGGTGAATACGAAAACACTTACAGATAAATTAATGGTTTGAATAAATGTGAGCAATACGAATGCGACTAAATTTATTTTATGGGTTTTGGATATACAGGGTGTTTTAATTGAATGGTCTTATATTAATTTTTGAAAGTAATCTCCAGTGTTTATTGAAAAAGTGAAGGTACAGGCTGCTGGAACGGCGCCAAGAACTCTTGAAACTAAGCAAAATGTCCAAAAACGAATCTAGACATTCTTACAAAGCAAGAATTTTTGTTAAATGTTCACATTTTCATAAGATGTACTAATAAAATATAGGGCGTTCTATTTGAAAAAACTGAAATATCGATATTTGAAAATTGTAATAAATAAAACATTTTTATAAACACTCTGTATATGAAAATTTAAGCTCATTTATACCATAACAGAGCGCGTACTTTCCTTTATATGTCTACAAAATGTTATAACACAGATTTTTAAAATAACCCTACTGTGTTTTTTTGTGAACCTTGTCAAAAAATTTCAAGAAAATTGGAATAACGTGGCAACGTTGCATAGTAGTTTAACAAATAAAATGTGGTTATAAAGCCCAAAGGAGGTCAATCAAAACATATCCAGATGTAACGGGTGTTTTACTTAAAACAACTAAGTCCTCAAAGAACCGTCTTTGGTCTGACTTTTTTCTACTTATAATAATTAATGAGATATCGAGAAACGTGGGCTTAGTGACTCACCCTGTATATCGGCTCCTTCGTCTGTAATCTGTATTGTTTTCAGTGGTAATAATTTAATGGCACGATTAATGGAACCCACAAATTTAATTTGATTTGATAAATTCGTATTCTGATAAATTCGATAAATATTTGGTAAAAGGATGAAACTAGGTAAACATATTTCTGATAATTCTTGCTTGCTGCTTTCAAAGTTGTAACAACAGAAATTTAAAATCTTCGTTTAAGAAAAAACAGAGCAAAACCTGCATTTTTGTGTTTTACGACCTGTACATGAAGAAAAAGTGGACAGTTGTCAGAATGACCCCATTTAGTTTAGAAAAGTTTCTTAGTTCTTGCTCTGGAATTAAAAAAAGTGACGTCTTTATTTCTAAATAGCAGACTATCGAATAAATTGTGGAGTTTCTAGTTCTAGAGTAATTTTATCCGAACAAAAGTTCGAGATTTCTTAACGAATCTATTGTCGAGATACTTTCTGCTGGTCTGTATTGAAGAAGCTTTAAAAATGAAATTTAAGGTTTGGTGATTAAACAGAAAAAAAATCCCAGAAAGTTTTCTTAGACCGGCGAAATATTACAGTAGAAATTTCAGACTACGAAACAGAATTAGGAACGTCTACGCATGTGGTAGTGCACACAGGAGCGACAATGCCATGTTTACACTGGGTAATTTCTCAAGGTCGGGGTCAGTTGCACATGCAATTTTGCTCCTCCTTGACAATGTCACTGTCACCCACCATTTTTTATTCTTTAGTTTACGAGTGTGTTCACAACCAACTGAAAAAACAGATTGTTAAAATTATGAAGTATATATCTATGTTATAATACATATTAAATATAAATAGGATTTCAGATTTAGAAGTTATCGTCATCGTAATTTTTCCACCCCCTCAAGCCCCACCACAAACTTCAACCATTGTCTTTCCCAATGGCCAATTACCCAATCTTGCCATAACTCAACCCGAGAAATGTCATCGCCAACCTCTCCTCGCCTTCGCCCTCCCCCTCCCCTCATTAGCCGATATGTTAAGTACATTGTTAGCGCACATGGTCCCCTCTCTGTCGTAATTACGCCGCCCCCTCTCCCCGCCGTCGATGCAGTGGTCAGAGCATCTCGGCTAGCCGTGGAAACAGGACGGCTGAAACGCGCGCTAGGACACCGCGATCAAACCATCCTGAAAACAAACGACACGTGACCGAGTACCGTCAACAGTGCACATGTGTGCGGCACCGGCCCCCCGTCACACGTCCAAGGCCAGGATACTATCGCTATAGTGCTAGTGGTACTAGTGTTTACAAGTGTCAAAACCGGCTCTCGCCATGTGCGCGCCCTGTGTTTTTGCCACCTAGTAAGTATGTGTCACGTGGGGTGGGGGCGGCAAGGCCGCCTCGATTTTGATTAAAAATTCGCATGATAATCTGCGCTGGCGTTGATGAGTGCCCGTCTGGCCTTCCGCCCCGCAGGCGCATGCGTGGTCTCCTCATTACTTTACCGATTAATTAACTTGCATATTGCGCGCTCGCTCTTGCCGCAAATTGCGCGCAGTCCGTCCCTGTCTGGCACACGCGACCCTCGCTCTTAGGGGTGTGTAATTTCATTCTGTCTCTCCTCTTAATGAAAACCGAGCCGGCTCGCTCAGCGGCGTCGGTTGTGTTGAATAAAAGCGCTATAAACAATTATAGCGGGGTTGTTTGCATTGGCAAAACTGTTTAATTGTTCACACTAAATTGAAATAACAATTGTTGTAGGTGTGCGGATTGCAAAACTGCCGGGGTCTGGTCGAGAAATTTATATTTATTTTTGGCTGTTTATGCTGTTTGATTTACTAAACTTTCAAACAGGTGGACAATTTCGGGCTAAATTTAACCTGTCTTCATTCATAAATGGCCACTTTAGTAACTGTAAATTTCCAGCTTGCCGCACGATTTTCTGACCACCAGTATGCTTTAATGTATTAAACAATTACTGACCATTTCTTTATACACCAACAATTCGAGTTATTAATTTTCATTTTTCGCCCGAAACTCTCTTGAGGACATGTGTTTATTTTGTAAAAAACTATTTCAACAACTTAGAGATCAAACGAAAACGTGCTCACCACTCCATGTTGATAAAGCTTTAACACATTAGCTTTTTAGAATTATTTCTACAGAAAAAAAGTTACTTGATGTCACGTACGAAACATTTTGATTCAGCGTTAGCTGCGACTAATGCTATACATTTGGCAATATAATTCAAAATCTCTTTCCCCACTTCGTAGATCTGTCACTCTTGCTGCTTTACCGCCACATTATTTGCTATCACAAAAGAGTGGTGCCAACTAAAACGCTATCCGAGAACACTCTAAATGAAAATATTTTCGATCTCCCAGTATCTCAGTTCTAAAATTATCAAGGGCGCTCTATGCACGTGGTATACTTTTCTGACATTATATTGACTTTTTTCTACCTACAATGTACATGATATCTACATACTTTTAACGTCAAATTTAAGTACAGACAACAATAGTGAAAGTATTGCAACAATTACTTAGGCGCCATTCTTATCTCGTATCTTTTTCTTAAACTAAAGTTACATTTTCTAGAGGTCATAAAGGTTTGAGCTTGGTAGTTTTAAATAACGTGTACTTTATTCAATTTTTTTGAGGAGACAATTCAAACAAATTTTTGGAAAATTTGATTCATATTTCGACGAATTTTTCAAGTAGAGTCCTATTTTATAAAACAATGGCAATGCCGTATTCTTTTCAGTGGTATACTTCCGGTTCTGAAATAGTGAAAAAGAATCTGTTTCAGTTCTAGAAATTGTTTTCAACGCGTGAATAATTTTTAATTAGGTAAGAAATGGCTGAAACCTTACAAGCAATTTATGCCCTGTTGGATGCTTGACGAATGGCCCATATTTAGTTAATCGGGTCCTGCATGTAGCTTTTGGTGTCTTCTTTTCTCTTTACCGCGATTACAGTAATTACTTACTTCTGCCTCAGTACTGCAAATAACTACGATGCATTTTTAGATAATACCAAACTGCGCCGATTTATCTGGCTTAAATCTATTTACAGTGTGATTGCCAATAGCCTGATCAAGAAAAGCCAACGTTATTGATGAAATGTGTTAAAAATAAGTATCTATGTACTACGTAATCAGTCTAAGAAAAAAATATTTCAGTTCCAGTTTGTTAAAGTCAAACTATTTAATACAATAACGGTATCTACATGTTGGATATAGACACTATAAATTGCTTGTTTGTTTTGAAATCAATATTTCTCATTATCTGCCCAGTTATTGCATTTATTACTAAATAATATTAACGGTAAATTAAGATCAGCAGGATGCGGCACAGTAAGGTTCTAAGATAGTAATCGCAAAACTCGTGGCAGCACAGTTTGATTATCCGTTTTAGGTGAAAGGTGGTAATCGGCGCAGTTACACCATATTCTTTAAACAGCGCTCCAGTAATTGGATTTTTGTTTTTTGTTGTTGTTGTATTTTTATTACATTATTATTGCATTTTCGTTCGGTCTCTTGGTAGTCATAAAAGTGCAAAGCCTTTAAAAGTGTCGCTAGTTTTTGTTTATTATATCTATAGTGATAACATTTTTAATGCTTTTTACTTCATTAGGTTTGTTGACCGATAAAAATATTTAGTTTATCGTATTGCACCTTGATTTTTTCTCCGTTATGTTTGATCAAGAAAGACTAATTTTTTGCCTGTCTGTCATCTGTCATCTGTAGTCTACTGGGGATTTTATTGTTGTCAAGTTTTAGGTCTATTTTACGAATAATTACGAATGACTAAAATTTGTCTGAACATTTCAACGAATTTTGCAAAGTAAATATTGTGGTTATTATTCCAACTTAATTTTTACTTTAGCCGTCTAGATTTTGAGAAAAATATAAAAAATATTCAAAAGATTTTGTCCATTTTCTTCAAAATTTGATGACATTATGTCAAAGTTTTAACTAATAAATTGTGTCTAAAATGTGTAAAATATTATGAGCCTACCTACACTTATATATGGCATTAATAGTTTTTAGAATTATTTATACAGGGTGACTCAAAAAATGTATACAAGAAGCAATTTATTACTAAATTTTATGAAAGAAAATTTACTGGAAACTTACGTGTAGAATGCTTGTTTACAAGTAGTTTAACAATTCACACCTGTGTTTGTTTCAACTTCTAAAGGTTACTGAAAAATAAATAAATTTGTAGAATCAATTTTTTAACAGAAATAATAATTTAAAATGTAATACTTAGATATAATAATTCTCTAAACTATAGGGGTTCCGTATTTTTTCCCAAGATGCGACAATATGATTGCGTAATTGATTCTTTGTCATCAGTCTTATATAAACTAGATATTTCCGCATAGGAAAAAAATGGTCCAAGGTTGTTACAGTAAAAAGTACAATAAATACAGATTTTTCCAAGAATTATAAGAGTAGATATTGCAAATTTCATTTTTTATAACTCTAATAAATTAAATTAAGGATATGTATGTAATGTAAAGTAAATGTAAAGGAAGCATGCTACGAGCTTATTTCAGGTGAGTTTTTCCATTATAAAGTTTTCTAATGACGTCATCAATGTTTTGCAAGGACACGTATATCAATTTGGATACATACAGTGCCGTTCTTGATTTAATCAATACAATAAATTACCCCATTCACTAATCACCCGGTATAAGTAATTTTAAATGCATTGACAAACCACAAGTATAGAGTTACAATATCTTGCATATTAAATTTATTCGCCAAAATTTTGAGATGACGTCATCAATTTTTTGAGAGGGGATAAACGAATAAATTTTAATTAACGATTTGCCATGACTACGATAAACGTAAAACGTTTGCAAGATTCCAGAACATTCGATTTTGAGTTTCATAGTCAAATTGTAAAATCTTGTTATACAATTTTGATTTTTATTTTCTAAAATGATTTTGGTTAGCGTTTTACCGTCTAGATCGACACAGACAGACGGACAACAGATAGACAGACGGAAACGGAAGACCACTTTTTTCGTACTCTACGGGTCAGGAAACGTCGAGAAAATGTGAAAGTGGGAAATCACCTGATTGGCTCGATTACTAACTTGCTTAGCTTACTCCCACAAAATAAAAATCCGAAGAATTTAATTTTGGAGACCGATAAACCATTAATTTATGACACCCTATAACTTGCATTTTTGGGCGAATACTGATAGGAATTTTTCCTCTTATTTCCATGTACTTAAGTAAGGCAGTCCTCAAATTTTTCGTATACAGGGTGATTAAAAAATGGCGCACCAAGTGAACGATATCCTATTACACTTTCAAGTCTAAATTAGAGACAAATCATAAAAAAAGACAAAATATTCATTAGATAGATACTGTTACGGTCAGAAGATCTTTGTAATTGTAACCTTATTTTTTTAGTTTTGTATTTTTTTTTAACACTGGGCGCAATAGATGTGACGTAACAAATCTTTTAAACCTTAAGCGTCGAAGTGACAAAGCATACGCTACATTAGAATTTTTACAAAAACGACGTTCAAGATTTGAAGTTAAAAAATTAATTAATATAATGATTTTTTTGTTAAATATACGTAGTCTTCTTTTCACAACAAGAAACATAAAACATGTTCAAAATAGTAAATTTTTGTTGAGAAGTAGGGATTTTGTACTTACGCTCCGCCCCTCGGTCTGACAACGAATGAAAATTTCATCACAATTGAGATAGGGTGGGTGGGCGGGCTCATATTTGCCCTATTGTTTTAATATACGTAGTCTTCTTTTCATAACAAGAAACTTACAACATGTTCATTGTTCAACATGGTTAAATTTTGTAGGAAAATGGGGATTTTGCAGTTTCGCTCCGCCCTCCGGTTCATGACAAATAAAAAAAAAACACAAATGAACTGGGGGCGTGTAGGCGGAACTTATGTTTTTTAATAAGTATTTTTCCTTTCCGAACAAGAACCTGAAAGTATGTTTTAGAACGGTCAATTTTTATAAAGACATATGGATTTTGCAATTCAGCTCCGCCCCTCGGTGTAATTGCGAATGAAAAATTCATCACAATTGAGATCCGGGCGGGTGGGTGGGGCTTCATCTTTGTTTTTGTTTTATAATATATGTAGTTTCCTTTTAACAATTTTCTGGCACAAAGTAAAAGAGATTTGATACTAAATAACATAAAGTTAATTCCTTATTACATTTTTAATTTTGACAGTAATCAAATATGTAAAAGAAAAATTAAACTTTAGGGGCCTATGTCTTCTCCATTTGGGTCCAAGGATTGTTTAAATTACTTTGTCTTTATTCAATCAACCGCTTTTAACAACGTGTCATACAGTTAGTGCGCCAT